CATAAATTTTTGAGTGTGCAATATTGGTACCTGTAATATCTGATACAGTAGTATGTATAACTATATACAAAGATCAAGTGTTTACAATAATTAGCTCAGGCTACTGATATTCGCATCATGTGTGAATTTGGGTGTTTACAAATAGTTACACTTGGCATTGCTATTAATTTTTTCTTTTTCGAAACAACAATTATTTATAATTTATGAAGACAACATATGAACAAGATAATTTTGGTAATTAACCATTGGCAATAGTTAGCCAAATACACTTACAGTCTGCTCATAAGAGACTTGCTTCTCAGTGATATACCTCACGTTTTTTAAAAGACTGAACAGTACGTGCATGATCTGGGCCAAACTAATTGTGAGAGAAAACAGTTAAGAAACCTAGATGGCCTGGCATTAACATTACTGCATACTTTAGTCCTATAGATATTGTATGCTTTTCTCTTATTTTGCTTAGCTTCAGCAAATGCTCCAATGTGAGTCAATGAGTTGGCAAGAAGATGATGACTAGAGAAGAGAGGGAGGGAGGTAGAGAAAGAGGGATGGAGAGAGAGGGAAAGAGAGAGGGGGAAGGGAAGGAGGAGCCAAAACAATGAGAAAACGATAAGATAAGATGTACATGTACATGTATCTTATCATTACTAACATTGTGGCTACAGTAATTGATTGACTTCCATGAAACCTAATGAACAGATACAAGAACAAACATAGCCAGCCTTAATTCTCTTGATTTGTATATACTAGCTCACTTGTTTCGTAATCTACGAGCACTTTCCAGATATGCCTGACTTTCTTCATAATGACCAGCATTACTCAGTAGTAAACTAATGTAAAACTACTCAATGTAATTAAAATAAATAATAACAGTTATGATACAAAATTTACAATACTTTTAAACAATACATGTACATGTGTATGATGAAACTAGAGAACATTGATAAAATAATACTTACATCAACATTAGACATTTCAGGATGATCCTCACCAAGTGTTAACATTATTAGATACATAACTCTATACAGTAATCTCAACGCCACAACATTCCTCTCAGCCCCACAGCAATACTAAGCCAAATGGAACTATATAAAGAAAAAAATCAGTGGTGGGCTTAGTCGTTGAAATTATCATGATCATGGTTTCTTGCAGAATTTTGACATAATGCTCTCAGTGAATTTTTAAAGTTGTTCCAAATGTTGATAAAATATTTCAGAATGTATTTTCCCAAAATTTAATCAAACATTGCAAAGGTAAAACTTTTATTAAACTTTGTGATACATATAGAAGTTCTAATACAGTGAAAAAATTTTAAGCAGACTCTAGTCAAAATTTGGATTTTTATAAATTTTAAAACTTGCTTTAAAATTGGATCAAAGACATGGTACATGGTATTTGGCCAGAATTTGCCAAAAACAACATAGGAGAAAATTCTGTGTTTATAATTTTCTCATAACATGTCCATATGTTGTACAGAAAGTTAAAGCTCATTCTGATCAAAATCAGATTTTCATTAATTTTTAAATTTTGCTAAAA